GTTGCTTGGTGCTGGTGGTTTCCAGGGGTTGGTAGGTGATGGGGGAATACACGTTTTGCCATTCTAAGCAGCTTTTTTTTTTTTTACCTTACTGTCTCAGGTGGTCCTGGCCGTGGTGCTTCCTGTCTGGGTAGCCTGGGCGATTTCTTGGTTGACCATGCGGACTGGAAGGGGGAAGCAGGGAAAGAAGCCAAACCCTCACCATAAGTTATCCACCATGGCCTGGAAGGTTCCCCGTGAGAGTCAAAACAGGGGCCAACACTCCCTTTTACACACGGGGGGAAGGAGGGGTATCACTTCCTCTCCACGGATTAAGAGTCTGCTGCTTCAGCCTTCAAGGTCTGAAGGAAGAGCCACTGTCGGTCTGAAAGCAAGCAGAGAAAGGAAGCAGGCCCAAAGGCCGCCCAACGTCTTCCGTTGGGGGCCTTCTTACTCCAGCAAAGCCCTCCATCGTAAAAGCAGGTTGGCCCAAGATGCAGTCTCCATCCCTATAGGAGATTTTTTTTGGTGGCTGTTCGGATTCAGCCAAGCTCCACACACCTCCCCCCAAACCCCCCCGAGCTTAAAAAAAAGGGGGGTCTCTCCCGCAGCATTTGACCATCAGTGCAGGTGTCTTCTGCAACACCTTAGGACTTGTCCGTATTGGCGCCCCTTCGCTTGAGCTCGGACAGCCTCCTCTAGAGCAGAACTACCCCAAAACCAAAATAAAAAACAACCCCAAGAGAACGGACGGGAGGGGGCGGGGGGGCAAAGGCATTTCTTTTTAATGGTGTTTTGAGTGCTCAGTACAAACAAAATCATTTCACAAGAGTGCCAGCTGTCGGTAGATCGATCCTCAAGAATATCTAAGGTGCTATTTTAAAGGGGCGAGGGAGGAAATGATGGATCTCATCCTATTAAGGCTGCAACCTTCCCCTGGGGGTTGGAGGGGGGGGGAGAGAGAGGAGAGAAAGCATAGCCCCATTATATCCAGGACAATATGGGGCCCTCTAATGCATTCACGTGCTAGTTCTCACTGAGAGGTTAAGTCTGCAGTTTGGAGGCAACAAGGAGTGGGGGGGTCCTCACACCAGGCTTCTTGCCCAAAGCACTTAAGGTGGAAAACAAGGACATTAAGAAAAAAGGGAGTCCTGGCCAGGCTAGATTTACCTTGTGGCTCATTCGGTGGGAGACGGACACATTAAGAGAGGCACGAGGTGTCCATGTCCGCCCCATTGTTGGAAGTTTGATGCCAGTAAGGAAACACACGGTTTACAAGGCCTGGTCATCCAAAGTTTGCTTGAAACAGCTGGCTGACCAGAGAAATTTGGAGCTTATAAACACAGGGAGGAGACGAAGCTTTAGCACTTCCTCCAAAATGCATGTGAGACTATTTGGAATTGGCCACTTTTAGTTAACGCTGGGTCACAGATGCTAAGCTATGGCTTACTTCAATCCTCCTTAGGTGAATTTATATCCAGTTATACCAGGATAGCAATAGCAGTAAGACTTATATACCACTTCACAGTGCTTTAAGCACTCTCTAAGCGGTTTACAGAGTCAGCCTCTTGCCCCCAATAATCTGGGCCCTCATTTTACCGACCTCGGAAGGATGGAAGGCTGAGTCAACCTTGAGCCCGGTGAGATTCGAACTGCCAAATTGCAGGCAGCCGGCAGTCAACAGAAGGAACCTTGCAGTAGTGCACTCTCACCACTGCGCCACCATGGCTGCATTCGTACAACACGCTAGATTCTCAGTGCCCCGTGTGGTGCTTTCCATCTGATTTTTTTTTTTAAATTTAATTTTTCTTTTAATTAGTAAGCCAAGCAGGTTGCAAAAGAAAGCTTCAACCTCACGCACCGCCTGCCGTTCCAAGAATGCTTCTGGGACCTGCAGATACTTTGGAAGCGTGCTTAAGGAAATCTGCTTTGGTTGCCCACCCAGCCTAAAAATATCATAGTAGAAAGTTCCTAGAACTTCTCTCTGCAGTTATTCGCATTCCTGTAAGTGAATGTTTTGAGACTAGCTGGATCTGGTATGGTAGCCCCATGAAGGAATCCCCCAATACACTCATGTACCTAAGCATTAGAGATTCCCCACTAACCCAAAACTATGGTTATCATAGTAGGCGCTGATGGCTTCAAAAAGATCGGAGTCGTATGTCCATGGGGCCGTCTCCATTTGTTTGTCCCCTTGTAGGCATCAGAACAGCCAGGGTAGCAATTTCGGTTTCTGATGGCCTTGTGGGCTTTGGTCAAAAAGATCCCCCTGGGAATCCATCACAGGATCCTCCGACCCCCCATAAAATGATCTGAAACGGCAGGCTTATCAAATTCAGTGAGAAGTAGCAGACAAGCTTGGTCCGGTTGTCATAGGGATCAGGTGCCTCTTGTGCCTCCCCTCCAACGGACTCACGAAGCCAGTCACACAGCAAAGCCATCCCATCCCATCCCAAATGCAACTGCTCTGGGTTTGCCCTACAAGCCCAACCTCTGGGGGAGGTCTGAAGAACGACGTGAACGATGGGAGGTGAAAGCTTTCCGTTGGGAACATTCCCCACCACTAACGCCCAACGAAGCGGTAGGCTCCAAATTCCAGAGGAGCTGCAGGCCGGCTCCTACAGCAGGGACCCCCCCCCCCGCAACCTGTGGGCTGCGGCCTATTTGCAAACTGGGTTGTGGGAGTGGTGCAGCCCCACTCGCGCGAGCAGCACCCCAAAAGCTGAGTGGAGCTATAGGTGTGCACCAGCCAGCCACTCATGTGGCCCAGTTCCCCTTTCCTTCCCCCAAAGGCTTCGGGGGGAGCAATCTTGAGCTGCTTCAAAAGCTTCTGGCCTGGAGAAGCCTGAAGGTACCAAGACCGCACCCCCATAAAGGCTTCTCTTTTTGTGAGTGGAGCTGCGCGAGCGTCGGCCCACCACTCGCCTGACCCAGTTCCCCTCTCCCCCCCCCCACATCCCGCCAGCCCCCCAATGCCACAAAGGTTGGGGACCACTTCCCTAGGGAGAAGGCAGCCTTTTTCCTACGTAAACTTTCTTCCGCCCTCGGCCGATGATGATATTTTTTTTTAAAGATCTGAGCTACAAAACAGACACGGATGAAGCTTTCAACCCGGGGCCTGTTTCCAAAGAATATGAAAGTTCTTCTTGGTTTTGAAATGACCCAAGGGACTGAGAATCCCTTCTTCAACCAAGCATCCCATCTAAATGGTTCCAAATGCTTTTTTTTGGGGGGGGGGGGGGGTGTTATCTGTTCAGATTCTGGAGAAAAGTTCAAAAAAGGCTGGCTGGAAGTAGCAAATTCCTGTTATTAGTCTGCCCCCCACAACTGGGCTGTCAACCGAAGGCCGAGCTGGATACTAGAATGCAAGATGTCTGCACTGAAGGACAAGAGCTGAAGGGGGCAACCCCAGTCCAGCTGTTCCAGAAGAACGGACCCCAGATCTTCCTTCCAGAACAGCTTAACCCTTACCTGCTACCTTGACTGACCTCCCAGGACAGCCTGCAGCAAAGCACCAAGCTTTGCCGCAGGTAAAGCTCCATGGTAAATCCCAGCCCTGAAGTCCAGTTAAAGACTTGTCCTTCTTATGGGAACTACTGCCTCAATTCAATCGCTTGGCTGAGGGAAGGGGCCTTCCCCAATGGCCCACACGTCAAATGGGAACTCCACCTCTCTCCAGGTTCTTTTGAAGGACAGGAGAGTGGGAGGAAGAGGAGGGGGAGAGAGAGAAAGAAACAGGAGGGCAGTTATCCTGTCTGTACTCTACAGCACTACCCTGTTTCCCCGAAAATAAGACCCAACCGGAAAATAGGCCCTAGCATTTTTCAGGATGCTCGTAATATAAGCCCTACCCCCAAAATAAGCCCCAGTTAAGGTTGTCAGCCAGATGGCTGCATTTAGTACCGTATTTCCCCCCAAATAAGACCTACCCAGAAAATAAGCCCTAGCATGATTTTTTCAGGATGCTCGTAATAGAAGCCCTACCCCCAAAATTAAGCCCCACTTAAGGTTGTCAGCCAGATGGCTGCATTTAGTACCATATTTTCCCCAAAATAAGCCCTACCCAGAAAATAAGCCCTAGCATTTTTCAGGATGCTCGTAATATAAGCCCTACCCCAAAAATAAGCCCCAGTTAAGATTGTCAGCCAGATAGATGCATTTAGTACCATGTTCCCCCCCCAAAAAATAAGCCCTAACCAGAAAATAAGCCCTAATGCGTCTTTTGAAGCAAAAATTAATATAAGACCCGGTCTTATTTTCAGGGAAACACAGTAGTTGGTCCTGAGAAAGCGAAGAGGATCTGGGAAGAGAGGATGAAGAAAATGTGAGTCCCAAGTAGGCTCAGAGACGGGGGGGCAGTTCGGATGATCAGAAAGTTTCATCTTGCACGAACCGCGGGCGGCTCAACTCAAGTCTGTCTGCATTAAAGAGCTCACGTGGGGATTGGCCAAACCCTATATCCCAGCCCTACATGGAGAAACTGAAATGTGGATTTTTATGTGGGGGGGGAAACCAGGAACCTACAGCCTCACCCTTGGGGGACTCGATGGAAATACTCCCAAGGCAGAAGAGGACGACAATTGGCCAGAGGTAGGCGAATTGGCAGCTGCATTACACCTTGAGCTGAAATCTGGACTGTGGAAAGAAGGATGTTCTAAGCCAAAGGGCCAGAGTTCAAGGCTGTGTCTCCCAATTTATTACTACAACTGTTACGCCCTTCGTTTCCAGAAACCGAGGGGCTCCCAGTGGTCGTCGGCACAAAAAAGGCGATTGCACCCCAAGAGAGACGCCAGTGTCCCCTTGCTCTAACCAACCTGTCGCACAACTGCAACTACTCAGGGGGGCAGTTAAGGGGTGGCACTAGGAGCCCTTTCTACAGTGTGAAGCACCTGCTGCTGAGACCTGGAAACACCAGACTGGGCCAGAGTCAAGTAGCCAGTTGTTCCTTGTGCAAAGGAGCACAAAGACGCCTCGGAAAAGAGCAGAGAGCGGGATTTTGAAAAGGCCTTCCGCAGGGATACAGTTCTTTGTCTTTCCTAAGCAGGTCACTGTACATCTGATCGTATGTCGTTTTGAAATCGTAAACGTTGGGCTTGTCTGGGGCAGGTCCTGGCAGCTTGACGTGAGTCCCGGTACCAAACGATCGGACGCTGAAACCACGTTTGCTGAAAAAGAGAAAGGGGAAGGGGGAAAAAAAAAAGCTCCGTTAGTTGGGACAGACGCAGAGAACAAAATTTTGACGATTCACTGCCCAAATTTCACAGCTTCTGGGTTGCTGTTTTATCACCCCAACGGCGTCGACTCATGCTTTTAACTGACATTCAGGGGAACTTTGAGAACGGCTGTCAGATACTTCAGGTTGCAGCAAGATAAAATAAAAAGGACTGAAAGTCAAGATCTTGGTTAGTTCCTCCTAGGACTTCGGCTAATCTTTTTAACCAGAGTGATTTCGGGGTGGGGGTGGGGGTGGGGAGAGAAATGTGACTCTTTGCAAAGAGATGTCAACTGCAAACTCAGCAAACGGCAATGGATGTTGAAAAGGCCTTTCAAGGAAGACGATTTTAGAAAGCAAGTGTACATGCAGTTGAAAGCAAAGACAGTGCCATCCTACAGGACCGAGTGGCAAACATGATTTTTAAAAAAATTTTTTTTAAAGTCAAGTTTTTTATTTATATGGAAGTATTTTGAAGACAGTGTATTGTCCAGGCATTTCACTTTACAGAATAATAATAATAATAATTAAAAAAAACCATTAACAGATATATTGATAATGATAATATGTGCAATAATTATAACCATATGTATAACTCTTAGCTTATTAAAATTAATTATATTAGCATACTTAGTTATAAACATTCGTATTTTATTTACATATAACAATCTTTCTTCATCTAACTTCTACCTCTTATCTCTAACCATTGATAAAACTTATTCCATGTTGCAATGTACTCTGTATCTTCTTTATCTTTTATTTTCAATGTCAATCTATCCATCTCTGCACAGTCCAATATTTTCCGGTTTATGTTTTCATCTGGTGGGGTGTTCTCATTTTTTCCCAACATTGTGCAAATACTATTCTCACTGCTGCCAATACATGTAGCATTAAGTACCGTGTTTCCCCGAAAATAAGACCCTGTCTTATATTTTTTTGAGCCCTGAAATAAGCGCTTGGCCTTATTGCCATGCGCTCAAAAGCCCAACTGGGCTTATTATCAGGGGATGTCTTATTTTGGGGGAAACAGGGTATTTAGTCAGTCCCTTTATCATCACTTTCCGGTATTATATCTAACAAAAGTATTTCTTTTAAAAATTAATTTTTACGGAGGAAAGTCCGGCTTGATGAGATGAAGCAACCTGGGGAGAGGTTAAAAAAAAAAAATTCCTCCATTTGCCAGGTTCGATCGAAGGGTTTCCTTCTAGGTTTGTTCGAAGAACACCATAAACCTGTAGCCCCAAAAGGTTCGGCATTCGAACAGCTTTTTTGTTCATTTCATTCCCTCGCTTGCCTCGATTCAGAATTACGGGGGGAGGGGGGGGGGATCAAAAAAGGAACGGGAGCATCAGCCGGCAAATCGGTGAAGTCATTGGGCAGGCAAGCGTGTAAGAAGGAGAGCGTTCTTTTGTTTATCGCCGGCTTTGCCATTTCCTAAGGCACTAACTGCTCCCCACAAGCCGGAAGCCGGGCTCTTTGGAACAGCATTAATGAATCTCAGCGGGACCCAAAAAAGCAATCAGGTTGCGTAAATACTAACCAAAGAATGTCGCTCGCTGGCGAGCTTTCAACACAAATTAGGAAGCTATCTCCAATGGCAAGGATAAAGCAGGGCCAGAGCTCAGGGCTGGTTGTACACAGGAAAGCAATTTTCTAACTCTTCTTGCCTATCAATGAAGTGCACATTTCTTACGAGGGCTTGGCCTACTGTTCCTGGCATCAAAGAGACTGCCAAAAAAAATATATTAAAAAATAAATACAAAGGCTTTCAAATGTCCTTCCATCCCTCCCAAGTCCCCTTCTCCTCCGCTCTCAATGTCAGTTACCAGCTTCAAATAAGACACCTGAGCTCCCAATGAATGGAGAATCCTGCTTTTACTGTACAAATGCTGATTAGCTGAAGCCATGATGTGGCTTGCTTTGGGCGGGGTGGGATGTGTGCAGCCATGAGGGTTTAAGCGGCATGCAAGCCTGACATCATGGCTTCTTTTAACGAGTGTTTTTTTTTAAAAAAAATCATGGCTGGGGGTGTAAACGCAGTGGCGTGTCTATCGTGCTTAGCACTAGGGGAGAGAGCTAGCTTACTAGACTGCCTCTTGGCTCACAACTAAGATTTGACGGTGTTTTGCTTTGTCCTTGCGTTCTCTAATTAAGTTTATAAAGCCACCCCCAGTCTTGGTTCACTCAGGAGCTCCTCGGTTGTTATGACGCCTGAGAAAAGACCAAAAAAAAAAAGAAAAAAAGTGGATTGTCCAAGAGAAGTATTTTTCTCTTCACTCTGTAAAACAACCTCTAATTTAAATAAAGCCTGCATGTTCCTGTTCGCCCAAGCAGCAAATCTTGTGTCCATGTTCATATGTTGATTAATAGCTGCCTCTAGTCAAACGTATTCATTTAGTGGGATTTACCTCCCTTCGCTTAAAAAGTTGGACAATTTTTAAGCCTAATTAACCATCAGCAGCTGAGCTTCCAGCAACAGAATGGCACATTTTAGTCAAGCGAGTCTAACTCTCTGCTCAAGGCAGGAATAAACTTTTCCCCCCTAACTTCTAGCCTATTTGGGCTGCATTGCTTGAAACAAGCTCTAGATGGCGGAAAAGAGTGAAGCTCTTTGCTGCCACCTAGTGACAGTTTGAGTTTTGCAGCCCAAGTATAAAAATCATTTTAACTACCCAATTAACAGAAGGCTGTCTGAACTGAGTAACATACTCACCTTAGAAGTGCCAAGGTATCAACCATTCAAAGCCAACTCGGCTCCAGAATTGCTTTCCCATTCGCAAGACCCACATGCCCATAATTCAATTGTTCAATTAACCCAACGATGTGTGTTCATATAATACAACAAAGGGAAAACAAACTAGCTAGTTTGTGGTTTACAGCCCAAAGTCATCCTGGTTCCATTCCTACATTTGTGATCGTTTCTGGATAAATTTAGCACGCAGATTGCAAGCACATGCTATTAATAGAGCTCTGCGTCCTGCTTGCTAAGATTTTTACATTCCACAACAAAATAAGTACATCAGTAGAAATCTGAACTATAAATAAATACAAATCCCATATCTTATTTTTATTAAAAATAAATAAATAAACAAGTGGACTTAGTCTCTTCTTTGAAGTTCGCTTTGAAAGTCACCGAACCGTACGCAGCCTTCCATCCTACACAACACAAGCAGTAAAACAAAGGTGAATAAAATAGCATATAATAGAGATTAATTCCATTAATCTCAGTGGGTCTACTCGGACTATGTCAGGATCTAAGCTGCTGCTATGGACAATCGAGTTAGTTAGTCTACCACCCCAAACTAACCAACTCTGATTGTCCACAGCAACAACTTAGATCCTGACATAGTCCGAGTAGACCCAGAGATTAATTCCATTAATCTCTATTGGGCATTAATTTATTCACCTTTGTTTCGCTGCTTGTATTGTGTAGGGCAGAAATATTATAAGAGAGGTGCATTATTGGTTTTGGTGCCGTTCCACTCACCCACCCACCCACACAACCCATATGTCTGCAATATAGGACAACAAATCATGTGCGCGGAAGACTGTGGACACACCTGTGGCCTCTTTTTCGCGAGAGATGCCAGGATGCCAAGTTGTAGAATGCTACAAAGACAGAACGTGCCCCGATCCACTGCCAAGCAGTAACCTCTCTTGCCAACCTGCACATTACATCAGGGATAATAAGGTTGTTATCTCAGCAAATGTTTTAAACTGGATGCAAATGTTTTCAAGATCAGAAGTGCAACCAGTCTTGTAAGAACACTTTTTAGAATTTATTTAAAAAAAAAAAATTATAAGAGAAGGAAGGAGGCTGAGCTTCAGAACTTTAAAACAGAGACTAGTATCGGCATCGGCTTTCTAGGCCATCCTCTAAGAACGAAGTCTGGCCTGGCCTGCTAAGTAAGGTCTGCCTCAAAAGGTTCTCACTATGCTTCTTTCATTATCTGAGGTTGGAAGGGAAAGAGGGAAAGAAACATATGGGACACCAGCATACTTTGTGCTGGGCCACACTGACGCTGGGGTGGGCATCTAAGCAAGATCCCAACGAGAGGGAAGGCTGCTTGAAGAGAAGCTTAAAAAAAAAAAAACTCATTCAATGGAAGGATCATATATAATTTTTACCTGGGTTTTTTATTTTTTTGCTAGAAGTTGCCCGGGTAGAAAAGGGACCCCATTTTCATTTACTGCAAAGTGGGGACAATCTGATGCCCATATCATTTAGAGGTGAAGCCCCAAAGGCAGCTCTGAATGAAAATTACATGGCGCTGCAAGTTAATGCAAGGGAGCGTCTAATTTAATACTCCAAGGCCGCATCTGTGGCACTGTCCAGGGACTTCTTCCTAAAATGGCATTTTCAAATTCATGGCATGGATTTCAAATCCATGACAACATGACATGCATGGGGGTTAAATGGTACTAACACCCTGTGCCTGGTTTGTGCATTACACAAAGGTGCAGTTTTTGTTCACAACTGTTCAACAGAAGAAAAAAACAAATTGCTTGGGGTCACACAAGCATAGAGTTTCAGAATCTTGGCTGGGTTCACCCACCCAACACCTGAAAACAAGCCAGGATTAGGGGACAGTATGCATTTAGTTCATTCGTCCTTTGGGCTGTTGGGATTCTTCCTATAGGCCCAAGACGGAGGCTTTTGTTTTTATTTGTATGTATTTATTAAATTTGTAAGCCGCCCAGAGTCACTGAGAGTGAGTGGGTGGCCATATAAAATTTATAAATAATTTACTTGCCACCCTGAAACTTTTGACATTATACACGGCAGCTTGTTATTTAAAAAAAAAACAGCAACATTCAGAGCAGAACCTATTTCTTTTGGCTATCCCGTCACAAGGATCAATTGAAATCTTAAACCGCTGAGAAGGAAACACTTTCCTCTATGCCTGAGTGCATTTTTAGCAGTTTTAACCATTCGTTTTTTCCCTCTTGTTT